ATCCGAAAGACGTGACTCAGTTTCGAACCAGTGTCGTCTGAGCCAGTTCGTAGGCAAAGACAGAGAGCTGACTAAATCAACGTGCCGCTAGACCAACTCCCATCTTCCTACTTCGGTCATCCGTACAATGTTTTATACCTATTACACTGTATATGCAAAAGTGAATGGGAAGGAGAGAATAATGGTTACGGAGCTTAAATCAAAGTTTTCCATTTATACTGCCCTCCCTTTTTAGCAATTATTTGTAAAGGTTGAAAAATGTCTCCGCTGGGAATATTATACAAGTACCTATAATAGACCCTAACACTAATAGTACTACTACTACTAAAAATAATAAGGTTTTTTATAAGTTATTTATGATTCAGCATACTAGATCAAAAGTTTGATTACCCCTTTTACTGAAATAAATTATTGATCCTGCATGCGTATCCATGTGAATTCATAATCATGACGTCATTCCAAAATGATAAGGCAAAATAACAACATATTAATCACTAAATAAAAGATGATACATACAGAAAGAAACAGTGGCATAATTTCAGGAAATGTTTATGAATGCATGCATATAAAAAGAAGTAAAAAAAAACACTTAAAATCTATACAATCTGTTAATGCTTGTTCTCTTTTGTAAAACTTTATATACAATTTCTCATATTTCCGCATGATCTTCACACGTATAGCCAGGGGCGTACGCAGGATTTTTTTCAAGGGGGGGGGGGGGGGGGGGTAACCACCCATTTTTTATATTTTTTTTTGGTCTCGAAATTTGAAAATTTGACATTTTCTTCGTTGGGGGGGGGGGGTAAGGTCACCTTTTTTAGGTTAGCCGTGGGCATTTTTTTTTTTTTTTTAAATAATAATTAAAAAAAAAAATCCAAAGGGGGGGGTTTTAGGTTTTTTTTAGGGGGGTTTACACCCATAAAAATACCAAAGGGGGGGGGGGGTTTGAACCCCAACCCCCCCCCCCCCCCCCCCTGCGTATAGCTATGTTCCCATCATAAGTTCTCATTCTTTGTGTTCTGGTAGGCATTATAATACAGAGAAAACAGGATGGGGAAAAGAATACGTAAAGCCCACCAGCCAGTAGCTGAGAAGCACACTGTAACCGAGAAAAAATTATACTTACATGTAAGCCTTCTCTAAGATCTCTTTTCAAGGATTTTAAGAGCTATTGTCCTCGAAACTTTACTCAGTATTTAGAAACACTTTGTTGGCTATTTCCCGTTTCGCACCTGTATTTGAAGGAAAGTACCGAAGTCGTGAATATTTAATCTTTTTCATTTTGAAAATTATTAGGGACTTTTAGATTGAGTGGACGAGAACGGCGTGAACGTCCACTCATCATGCGTGTCCATGTCAAGCCGTTTTATCATTTATTCCTATTTCTTGATATCAATATATGATTTTCTGTTGTAAAGCAATGGTAATTCTTGATATCAAGAAATAGGAATACATGTTAAAACGGCTTGCCATAGACACGCATGATCAGTGGACGTTCACGCCGTTCTCGTCCACTCAATCTAAAAGTCCCTATTAAGAATTTTATAGAGCAAGATGTTTCCTGTTACCCCTTATATTGCATATGGCACACACAGTGAAGATGTGGGGTTATCATAGAATCTCACCAAAAAAATGAGGTTTTCACACTCGTTCGCTTCATCAATAATATGGAAAGGAATAAAGGTTTTTATACAAAATATAAGACTTGCCATTTTAATATTCATATTTCAAAAGCTATGCGTTTGAAAGTAATGACAAGTTATTCTCAGATGTCCGAACTCCGGAGCACCAGACGTTTTTGATTTAAGGATTGTATGTAACGGTATTTGCGAAATCATTTGAACAGTTCAGACAGCTGTAATAATACAATAATGTAGGGGAGGAGCGTCGTTGAGCATGGATTATCGTCTTAAACAGTGATTATAGCATACCGGCAAACAAACCGCCTGTACAATAATTTAAGTTCTGCAGTCACCAACCTTAAGTCGTCAAAAACGTTCAGAAAGGTTTTAAGGGTTCTTTTTCTTCTTCAAAGCTTTTATGCAGGAAGTAAAATTTCATGCAGTTTACCAATTTTTGATTGTTTGTTTGTTGATTTTATTTCCGCATTTTTCAACATAATAGAAATTACTATACAAACTAGGTATACATAATAATTATTAACAAAAGTTGAAGTACATATAAAGTCATATCATAATGCAAATCAATTAAATAATTATACCTTAACAAAAAATGATTTTAAGATTTTAAAAAATTGCAGGAGACCGTCATATCTTCAGCTAGAGCTTGAGCGTGGCCACAGGAAAGGAACCTATATGGGCGACCAAACCTATATCATACTAAACAATCAGTAATACTCATAACAGCCACATAATGAAGAGGGGGGGGCAGGAATAACATGAAGTGCGTTAAGTGTAAATGTGTGTTTATTTAATGTATGTCTTTTGTGAGACGTTTTATTTATGTTCTTATTTATGTATGTGCTTTAAATTTTGTAAGTGTGTGTGCGAGTGCTTGTGTTTGGAGCGCTTATGAAAGTATTACTTTCTTATATGCTGATAATAATTTACACTTCTTCATATGGCAACCTTAAAAGAATACACCAACATGATGATTTAACAGTAATTGGGTAACTATTCCATAGGTCAGGGCCATGATGTCGGATAGATGTATATGCGCAATTAGCAAATCTTGGTTCATAAAATGATTTCGTTGCTTTCTATGGGATTATAATATTACAGATGAACATTTGAGATCTTTGTGTATCTTTCATTTGAAATTGAATAAATAAAAGGTATAGTAATACGATTCTACACCGTAACCAGGACCAGATTATTACAATTTTGATAACCATTCGTTCCATACTGGTGGTTCAGATTAGTGGGATGAACTAGTTCTTCCAATTTCTATTTTCAACTGCTCCCATCGCACACTGTAAAAAAATAATAGTCGAAATAACTCAATAAAATTGAGGAAAAGAATTGCCTTATTTTTATTAAGTAAATATTACCTACGGCATCTTAAGTAGAATTTACTTATTTTGCTGAATAAATTTTTACTCAGTTAAATCGAGTTACATTAACGTAAATAATTTAAGTATTGTAATCATTTTAGATAATTAAAAAAAAGCTATGATAGGATTACATATTGCACGATTTGGTACCCATCTAATCTAACAAGTAACATCCACTAATCATTCACTACTTCTTTTTAAGATTAATCACTAACACTACTTCTATTTAAGATTTAACCGTATATATATATATATATCCACCACCATCACAAACTATTACATACGCTTCAATTCGACACATATTGAAAGGCTCCAAATTTTATATATACTTGATCGTAGCATCTTAAAAGGAAAATTGGTTGACAATTTCCTGAAATATCAAGTTTTGATTTGTTTTGAACTGGGTAACAATTAAAAATTGTTTTGTCTTTGCTTACCCATGTTAAATGAATTAGTAAATGTTTTAAAGTCCTTAAATTTTCATTCAACCACAAAAAAGAATTGTTTTATTTAAAAAAGAGTTTAATTTGGTCTTAATGAATATTCATAAATCATGTAAATATTTCTATTACGCACTGCATCGGTCCTTACTTTGAAAAGATAAGAATAATCAACATAAATTGTTTGAGTAAAACGTATAATTTCTGATTTTGAGTTAAAATTACTAAATTAATACAAGCTGAAATTACTTAATGTTCTTATGTATTTGATTTTACTTAAATATTCCTCGTATGTTCTACTAAATTGAAAGTTTGAGTTAGCAAGACTTAAATTTAGTGCGTAAGTGGCAAAACTAATGTTTTCAAGTAAATTCTACATGGAAAAAATACGTAAAAATTACCAATGAACAAATTCTTTTTTACAGTGCAGAAGAGCATCCTGACAAACATGTCCTTGAAGGCAGGCATATAATAACCAGTTATAAGAAGTAAAGGAAACAACTGGAATTAAACATTATTTACTCTGTCCCTGATCATTATTGCGCTATAATAAAACGTGCCTTCCCTGTAATTATTTTCGAGTACCGTGACTAATTCTCATTATCGCGTTTAATCTTCTACCCTTGAAAATAATAGGATTATTTCTCTTGTAGGTTACGCACAGTAACGCCAAAACCGTGCTAATAATTGCGAAATATCATCTCATGTGGGGTATGCATGTATTCAAATGATTTTGTCACTTACGCGGAGTTTTTAAAACTGTCTTACAATCACGGGGTTGTACTTTTGAAACTGCCCCATGTGCTTCATCACGGGCGTACTTTGAAGGAAAAAAAGACCTCCCATTTGATAACACTATACTTCCGATCTTTTATCTCTTCCCTCGTCCCCGTCGACAGAAGTTAATTCTAAGAATTCAAAGTTTGTTTTGTTTTATTTTTCCATTTCTTTTATTTGGGGGGGGGGGGGGGGGCCGACCGTTAAGTTTTTCGCCCTGTATCTGATACATAATGTCATCGTCAACTTCTCTGGTGGCGCCCCAGCAATAAATAAATATCTTCGAACGTTCAAAGCAAAAAGAGACCCAAGCAGCTTTTGCTTAGCACTGGAACAGCGCCACACACGACACAAGTAGTGTTGGGTTCATTGAACTATACAAATATTTTAGGTTCTTTTTAGGATTAGACAGTATCAGAGTTGGAGAAAAGGAATGATATGCGAAAAACAACCAATTGTGAGATTGCTTTTTTTTGTTATTTTTTTTCTAAAACCGCATAATGCTTCCTGTCGTTCTTAATATCATTATACATCGTATCAAAATGTGAGGTGAATCTAGGTTGAGCGTGATGTGTACGTGGTGTCTAGCAAGCTTTTCTCCCATTGATTGCAGCCCAGGATAATCAATAGTTGGGTAAAGCCGTACATAATAGCTCTATTCAAAATCTAAGAACCCTCTTTGTTATACATGGTCATGGTTGATTAACAAGCTAGAAATCGGTCGTGTAAATTAAAATGTAGTGACTGATAGCGATACTGATCCACAAAGTGATCTAATTCTTTAAAGAGGAAGATGCATGCAAGCAGCTTTGGAGGCTATAATTTCTTGAATGAAAGAGAAGGAAAATGATGCATACGTGTCGAAAAGCTTTTTAAAAGTCAAGGACAATGAATAAAAAACTTCTAAACAGCTCATGTCGGTGGCTGTGTGACTATAAGACTATAAGTAACCTTGAATTGCCAGACTGGATCTAATTATCGTGAATCAGTGTTGTTCCAGATCTTATGGAACAAAATCGCATGATGGCATGAGAATTTCGACTCTTTCAAGGGGGAAGCGGAGGGTTGTTTAACTATTAAAAACAAGATAGAATGTTCAAGAATATCAATGTGTCTTGAGCTACCAGACAGCCTTTACGGCGAAAAGCTGTGCTTCAGTTACTTTTACGGGTGGATCTATCCATCTACTATCTATTAAAGAAAAGGATAAACAATGGATTAAAGTCTGCTGAGCATGGCTGCTCTTGTTGTGTAACTGGGCGAATAATTTCGCTTTCATCCACAGCACAGGATGTTCAGTTTAATGCCCTTGGTTAACGGTCGGTGATTGACTATTGACTACCGCAGGCCAGTTTTTGGATGCGGTGACGGAGCCCCAGTTATGCGCAATTACCGTGGCGTCTTTTTACACTCCACACTGTATTCGGTAGCCGATGGTGGTGAAAGCAGCAAATGGGATTCAGTACCACACCAAGGCTATGCTAAAGGGGATGAGCCTTGATTTCATGGGCTATTTTGACGGAAATTTCAAAGCAGGAAGCTTGTCCTTTTTGATACATTAATCAATTGAGGAATTAATCGGCATCATGTTGGACGATTTCCGGCTGAGTGTTCCAGATGTTTATTATTTTGAAGATTTTGTGGAAGCAGAGAAGACCGGTAAGTGTTGTAATGCGATTGTGTATTCTCTTGTGAATCTGACAGTCAATAGACCCCTACCATCAGATTTAACTGGGTGCTGATCTCCAATATTTGAAGTGCAGTGTGTTCGATACGTTATTCTGGGTAATATTTTCATACCTTGGAAGTAGGCATAACGTTTTACAAAACGTATTTGCCCCTTGCAGTCCCCTAAATAAGCTTCTTTTGAATTTTGCGAATTTCAATAGAATATAATTTAATTTTTAATAGAATATTATTACCAGTTTTATTTTTATCAACCCGAAATGAAATTTCACCGGAGGGAAGATCGACCTAGTCTAGTTTGTATTTTCATATTTAAGTTTACATATACTTGGGCTCGATCACTCTACAAGACAGTTTAAAACATTATTTTACATTTTGTTTCCCGTATAAACTCTTCAAGTTGTTTGAAAAAACACTAAATATTACCTTCCTCAACACAACTTCCTGTATAGCGTGAATGAATTATGCTAAATGCCAGTATGCGTACTCTAAGAAATCTTTCAAACTGTTAGTTTGTTGAAGAAGGAAAAAACATGACATTAATAAACTATTTACATTATTTGAGGGTATTCTGTTTGTTTGTGGAGGGGCAAGAATGGATCACTTTCTCAAAATGTGCGATTCACATCTCTACCATGTCTGCATTCATTTTGATGAATCGGTCCGCTTACATGGTTAATAATATAAAGGAAGGAACTTGTTTGTATAGGAATCGTGTTAGCGACTCTCTAGATCGTTGGGATTGTCCGCATCTGCGCTGAGATTTGTGGTGTTTTTATTTTCACATCGCCTCGCCCGCATCGTCATTTTGCCCGCGGTGCCGAGGTTAGCAAACGCATTTTCATCCGAACCCATGGATGGCGCGCATCTCTAAATGGAAAAAGGCGTCTCTCTCTCGTGGTCATTGTTTGAGTGGATTTATGCCAGTTTTATCTCTTGATTTGTGTCGTCACCGTGGAGTATATGAGCCTTTATGAAGACTCGGGTAATCTATAATCATCTGGAATTTGTAGAAATGATGACAAGAAAACGGGTGACGCCAGGTTTGCCGATACCCAGCTGCTCACGTACGTATAGTTTGATTGACATCACTTTAACGTTTGGTGAAATTAAATGAGACAGACAAGAAGTAACGGCTGTCGTAAATCAAGAATAGAATATTGCTTGTATATACACATTAGCCAGGCCAAATATGATAAAGAAAAGAGAAATGACTGTTAATGAAATTATGCTGTGGATAGGTGTTTTGGCGGGGAATCGTGAAACATTTTGTGATTTCGATTTTGGGGGTATTATGTGGGTCCCCAGTGTTACTATGGACGCCAGGCCATGCACCATATACAGCATTTATCCCCATCTGTCATCCAACGCTTATTGACCCCCTAACCTTTCGGTGGTTCTACTCGGAAGGAGGTCGAAATCGAGACGTTCTTCGCATCGACAACAAAAAGATCATGAATTCTGAGACATTATAAGGTTGCAATCAAATTATATACCACATTCAAAATGCATACCAAAATGTAGCCATGTTGATGTGTTGTAAGCGTGTATATGCTTTGACAAATTTCCCGCGGTTGTTGCTCTGACAAGTGGTATTTGTTTTTCGATACTTTGATTTTAATCGATTATTGTGCAGTTTATTCCACTATATTTTGTTCTAAGTTTAGTCTTCTGACTTTTTGATAAACACTCTGATGTTCTATTCTCTTATGTTGATAATATCTCGTGTGAAGAAGTTTTGTCTTTTCTTATTTGTTACTAGGTTATTGAAATAATACCCCGGTGTCTTAAACATTGATGTATTGACATATAAAGAGACATCATAAAAATCAATAGTTATGTTATATTGTTTTGTTCAGAAACACCATTGTAAGAAATATTATGGTATATACATCATTTTGTTCCCAACATCGCTAATAATTAGAAATTTGTGTGAAGCTCTTGCTTACAGTTATGTATAGTAAGCATGCTAAATTATTTGGAAGTTTACTTACTAAAACGCGCTTTTGGAGTACATGATGTCTTATGTCTATAATCGTGATAAGATGGAAAACAAACTTTTTAAGGAAAAACAGAAAGAAAAACACGAAGTGAGTCATCACAGGAAAATGTGTTTGGGAAAACTAAACGTTCCAAATTGGTTGCTCCAAAATTTATTGCATTTTGCAAATGTTCTTGATACTTGTTCACGCGACCATGTAATTGTAATGGAAAATTCATAATGAACAAGTTGTGCATTATACGAGGAAATTGTGTATAAAGCAATGAGAAAGAAATATTGATCTGATTGTTCAATAATTATTATACATCTGGATGGTTCAATTTTTATTTGAGCGTACAAGTCATAAATACAAACGACTTGATTACACAGGTGGGCTGAGTTAATTTAAATTGAACGCACATGAAATGACTGAGATTGACATGAATAAATTGATCTGTCGGCGTGAGAAACTGACGTAACTATGCAGATATATATTTACATGCAGCTCTGATATTGTGTCTGAAATATTTCTGAGACTAGTATTTTCTGTTTGGCATATGGCTTTATGAGTTAATTTCTAGATAAATAATAACTTGTATTTCTGTATACAAATTATTTAAACTACCAGTACTTTAGTGACATAAACTTGGCTTGCCCCTCTTCGTACTGTGTCTTTTATACGTGAAGCCATGTTGCATAATTATTGGTCTTTATAAATAACCTGTAATACGAGTATAACATTTTGACTAGTTTTTAAAAAAAAACACTGATTTATAACTAATAAATAGTGAAATCAGCATATTATAATCAAATCAAAACCTTAATGATTCGACTCTTACAATGATAAAAACACGCATTTGATAGAAAAAAACGGTACATTGCTTGGACCAAGACTTACTTAACTCTGTTGTGTACCCGCGGCGCAATATTAGTGTAACTATGTCATTAGGTCTAGAATAAATTACCTGTGTTTGCTATTTAATACAGCGCGTATCAAAAAAAGGTTTACCCAATTTTGGTAGCTTCTAATCACAAAGTTATAACCTGTGTGATCTTGAATCATATCTTATTGTAAAGAAGAATTAATACTCTGTCTAGGGATACCATTTTAAAAATTGTGCTGTCAAGGATGACCGCACAGCCGGATTTTCAAAAAGTATTGTCGAAATCCTCGCGCACCAAGTTTGGGCTGAATTTATGAATGTGGGTCAAAAGCCATCATCATTCCAAAACAATTGCTCTTTCATTTAAATTGACTATTAGGCAGTTGAAAAAAGGGTTAATTACGAGCAAAATTTATGATATTCTTTTCGCTATGGTGATTACAAACTTGACTTCATTTGCATCCCTTGATTCAGGTAACCTTCTCATCGAGTGATACAAAATGGATACAGTTTATCTGGGATGTTGTTTTTAAATGAAAGTCCGCAGTCAATTTATTTCATATTTATCATCATAACAAATTAATGTTCTTTCATGCCTTTTGGGTTTGGTAACCTTAGAGTTTTCGATCGCTATTCGAGGTAAAAACACATTATGCTCATTATGCGTGTGAAATGAAGCAGTGGACAAGTGAGCAGATGAACTAAAGTGAGACAATAAGTTAGTAGGCTGTCTAAAATAGTTAAAGGTTATCCTGTCGATTGAAGCAAGATTCTGTGAAAGCCATGCATCATTAAACAATGACGCACTGGAGCACGAGGCACAATAAATTTAACTTTTAAAAGGATTTAAGACCAAATAAGCACATGCATATGGCCTGACCCATATTTAAACAAGGCGATTTTGACAAGTTTGTTTAAAGACCCTGTTGCTCATTCACCCGTGGTAGATATATTATGAATAGGGTATCATTGGGTAGAAAAGATTCATATTGGTTAGCAGGCACGTAGCCACGGGGGGGGGGGGGGGGGGCACGTGCCCCCCAAAAAAATTTCAAAGATCGGTTGAATTTTTTCAGACCACTTTTTCGGACCTCGATCGATTACATTTATGTGCCCCCCCCCCCCCCAAACATCAAACTCTGGCTACATGCCTGTTGGTTAGGACTTTTCAATTAGGAGCTACCAAAATTGGGTAAACTTTTAATGATACGCCCTGTATTTAACACGATTGGAAGTACTGATTGGTCAAGCTATCCTAATTATCTTTTAATCAGAGTAAATGATTTAATAGGATTATATTTCATTTTAGTTTTGAAATTCAATTTCCTTCAATGACAGAGATGTAATTACCAAACTAACTACAGTGTGAGTCAAAAAAAAGTTTACACCTAGAAAATTGCAAATTATTTAAAAAATCATCTATGAACAGTAAATTATTATATATCTTATGAAAGAGTGTTTTATCCCAAATCATTTGATATCATTTTTGTGTGGTATCTGTTCACACCTGGATGAACAGGAGGCATTGTTTGCGAGAGTGCAAAAATAGTTGCAAAGTTGCTTATGTTATGTTGAAATAAAACAATTGGGATTTGGGAATTAAATCGTTTTTTGCAGATCCAAATAACATCCCTAACAAAATTAATCATGCCACACATATCAAATATGGAATATCAAATATCAACGAACATTTGTGTGCGTGTGTGACTTTGCTTCTGCAAAAAACATATGCAATGCATTTCATTTGATACATTTAATTCATTCTCTCAATCAGCTAATCCCAACATAATACATGATGTAGGCATCACTTTGGCGCAAGTCGATTTTTGCACTCTCGCAAACAATGCCCTCCTGTTCATCCAAGCGTGAACACATACCACACAAAAATGATACCAAATGATTTGGGATAAAACACTCTTTCATAAGATGCATAATAATTCACTGTTCATTGGTGATTTTTAAAATAATTGGCAATTTTCTAGGTGTAAACTTTCTTTGATTCACATGGTACAGAGAAACAGATTCTCTAGAACATTACCGTTGACAAATTTGATTTGAGAAATTAAAAAAAATTGCCTTCATTTTCGTAAAATCTGTTCTCACAATTC